GCTTTACGGACAGCAATAACACTACTTTCGATTTCAATCATGGAAGAGCTTAAACGCTTTAAAAGATGTTTAAAAGCGAGTTTTACTAAGACTGTGAATAATTTAGATGAAAGACTTAAAGGTCGATACATCAAATGTAGATAAGATTATAAGGTATTTCTCCCGCCTTCTTGGCATGCCTTCGTGGTGTGGTGGTCTGCACTCTGGGCGCGCATTCCAGAGGTCCACGGTTCAATTTCCGGCGAAGGCGTTGCGCATTTTTCAATTCTCTTGCTTCCAAAAATTACCTAATGTCTATACAAGATTAGAGTTATTTCCTTTGAGCTTGAGGATAAAAGACAAAAAATATATACCTTGAATAAACAGGTATTAGATTACTTGAATAGTAAAGATGCGAAGTGTTTTAATGAAGAATTTTAAAAAGAAATCGAAACCATTGAATCAGACAGTGATTAATTTATATCTTTCAAAACGCAAGTAACTAGACTTGAACTTTAATGAATGGAATAACATTTAATCTAGAACTGTTAAAAAGAAATTTAAACTTCCTAAAATTTAATTAAGAAAGTTTAATGGCGATGTAAAAGAATGGTTAGGATTTTGGGGCCAATTTTGAAAAATTAATGAATATCAGGAAATTAAGCTTGAAGATAAATTATCAGTATTATTATTATCAGTACGGAACTTGGATCTAAAGCTAGAGATGTTGTAGAAACTTTTCCACCTACTTCTGAAAGCTATAATTAAACTATCAAATATTTGAAAGCTAGGTTTGGGAGATATATTTAGTAGAAGTCTATGTAAGGGGACTACTTTGTTTGGTAATGGAAAATAGTAGTAATTATACAAATAAAATTTCTGTGCTTTAACTATTTGGTAATACAAGAAACACATTTACGTGCGTTAGAAAGTTTAAAGGTTATAACCGAGAATGGCTGGTATGCCGTATTCTCTTCTCGAATCCTGTTTACCTGACCACATTTTGAGAATATGGGAAAGAAATTTGGCTTTAGCTGACAAAGATATTTCTACAAATAAATTAGAACTATTAATGACATTTCTGAAGAATGAAGTTGAAACTGAACAGAATAACAATGGCCAAACAAACGTTTAACGTAGAAAGTCGATTACAAACGAAAGTATTTCCGATACATAAAAAGCGGAATGCAGTTCCAAAAGCCGCGGGGTTTTGAATAATCAATCGACAAAAGCAAACCCACAAAAAAGGGAAACTGTATTTTTTGCGGCCGGAATCACGATTTTGTTGAGCACAAATCCACTAAATATATGTTATTAGATCAAAGAAAACAGATTTTGTTAAAGAAAGGTGTATGTATGTTTTACATGTTTAACTCTACATCATTTATCTAAGGACTGCAGAAAATGTGTTAAATGTAAATTTGTTAAAAATGTAAAATTTGTAAAAGTGTTTTAACAAAAGTTATTTACTTATATGTCCCAACCTAAGTGGATGTAAGGAAATCGAAAAGGATGAACATGACCAGAAGGCCAAAGCTAAAGGGCATACTTTGACGAATCAAACAATTATATTATTGGAAGCACTGTGATGGAAACGTTGAAGGTTCGAATTCGTAGAAATGAGAATGCTCGGCACAGTAAAGACCTCGTTGCAAGTAGGTTTCAAAGATCATATATTACAAAACAAAACTGGCTTCAGAGATGGTGTTATGAACTAGTGAGTGAAGGAAAAATGAAACATAGCCTTTTTGAAGGTTCGGAATCAGTTCAGGAGCATAAAAAGCAGAGAATACTAATAAGCAATATAGTAAATACTACTTATACATATAACTTTGAAGTTAATGATAAAAAAGAAATAAATGTTGCAACAGAAAGGAGTGACAAAGGGAATATGGATGAATACTTTTTAGACGACAAGGATTATGGATGAGTGATTATAATAATGACCAAGATCCTTTAAGGAAGTCTACAAAAATATAACTTCTTATCGGGGCAGATATTACTGGAAAGTTGATGACTGGCAGTGTGAGAAAATTGAAATGCGGATTAACTGCATAGGATGGACAGTAATGAGAGAATTAACAAATGTATATGAAAGTGCATTTACGTTTTATTCTTGTTGATTAATGGATGTGCAGTTGTCGATCTTTGGAAGTTAGTAGCTATTGATATCATCGATACCTTTAGAAAGCCTTTTGAAACAAAACTTGCAAGAGGCTATGTTATGTAAATTTCGCGAGACCTTAAAATCAGATAAAAATGGTAGATATGCAGTATCACTGCCGTGATTGAAAACACATCCACCGATTTCTATTGTCGAGAACTCTCTGAAAAAAGACTTTTGACTACTGTTCCTAAACTTGCTGTTAACGGCCATTTTAGTGATTGCTAAGAAGTTTCTAAGGACCGTGTATTACACAAGGCGTTATAGAAGAAGTTCCGTTGCAAGATGAATTGGACTATATTTATCGCACCATCCAGTAATGAAAGATTCTTCCGCTCCTAAAATTTGTCTAGTGTTCGACGGTCCAGCACATGAAAGGAATTTTGTTTCACTCAATATTCTCGCTTAGAAAATGGTCCCATTCTGTTAGATCTGATTTCTTATACATTTTAAAGATTTCTTTTGAAAAGATACGAAGTAACAGCTGATGTACATCAAACATTTTTGCAAATTATTTTGAATCCATAAGTTAAACATTACAGGTTTCTGTGACATTGTAGAGTCATTAGGATTTATTTAAAAGCTGGAGAGATGAAAAATGAATTAGCAATGCCCTCGCCGGCACTCGAACCACGGGCCTCTCGAATACTCGTCGAGCGTGCTGATCAATACACTACGAAGGCATGCTAAGAAGGCGGGAGAAATACCTTATATACCCCCCAGAAAATGCAAAAAATTGTATTTTAATATTAGGCCTCGTGTGGGACGTAAAAGTGTTCAGACAGGTTAAATAAAAAAGCACACTTTTTATACTATCTTTAATGTCATTCATGCAGGCATATTTACTCAAGGTGCTTCGATAAGATTCTACAGAATGAAAGCCCATTATTCCAATTTAAAAAATGAATAAAATAACGCAGGTCTTTAGAATATATTTTAAGTAGCTTGGTAGCTTTTAATGAAAATATATGGAATTTAAATTTTCTTACGACAGCTTAGGAAAGATTTCAACAAAAATTTCGTTTGTTGCCATAGCCGAATAAGACCAAAAATACATGTATTATATAATAATAACCGACTATAATTCTAGTTAGATATTATTTCCTATACAAATTTCTTAAACAAAAGGAATGCTTATAGACCAGAAAACATTATAAAATCAAACCATTATTCTATACCAAGGTACAAAATCATAGTGCATTAACTCCAGCTGTTAATTAAAATAAAATAATGGAATAAAAATTACAAGAATTTTTTGTTCAATTTTTCTTAAATTACATCAGTTAAACATATGATAAATTATATCATTTAAATGTATTATAAATTACATCATTTACAAATATTACTAAAAATAAATAAAGTTACAAATTTTTAATGAGTATGTTCACTGTTTTTAAATCGAACATTTGTTAATTAATTATAGCTGTAATTTGAAAGAAATATAAAAGATCTTACTCCATGTTGAATAGCAACACTTTAAGAACTGACTATTGGCCAAGACGTGTAGAAGTTAAGATCTTATCATTCTTAGATTACCAAAACTTGTCATGCCACTTGGCCACTACTTACCTTAGACACAAAAACCTGAAACGAATTTCTAAATCGATATCATCCTCCTCGGTTAAAATTACTCCAGATGTTATAAAATATTTGAAAACTGTATTGCTATAATCAATTTTAAGTTTTCAAATCTGACATTCTAAAAGAAATATTTTACTTTAAAAAGACATTCATTTAGGATTACCGGTTTCATATACCATCTGCAAAACAGCAAAATTAGGAGTTCAGTATTGCGGTTTCTAAATCGATACTTAAATTTCAAAGCGAAAATGATTTAATACTCTAAGCGGCAAGGCCTTATATGTACGGCCTAGAATATTTTTTGTGATATCTGCAAGAATGTATATACACGTGAATATTAAAATATGCTAAATAAATTAAGGCAATATATCAAAAGTACATAAATCCAGGTATGAATTACCAGGAGAGTTTTTAGATTAAAATAAAAAAAAAATTGTTCTCATACTAGTTTTGGGGAATTTGTGCCTTCTTAGCGAAAATCTTAGCCGCGCAGAGGATTAAGTAATATGATGGTGACAACTTTTTTGCAAGACCATTTATCAGTTTTTCGAAAAGAAGTCTTTAGTGCGAAAATAATTGCTTGCTTATCTGAATTTTCTTCGCACAGGATTCTTAGAAGATTTACAATATTGTTACGAAATAGCCAGTTGCGGTAAGACAGCTTTTCCGAAAAGCGGGGTTAGAATTGCCAGAGTTGGCGCGGAATCACCCATTGGACGACAAAACTGGCGACGTGAAATAGACAGAGCGAGAACATTCTAGAACGAATCCTTACTGGTTTTCCCGAGAATGTTCTTTAAGGCAGGTCAAAAGTTATATATACCCTGCTTGTACGTGGAGTAGGAGAGTATCTAGAGTATATTGAGTCCAGTAGTAGTGACTTGAGTTCAGAGATTAGCTTGAGAGAGACCGAACCGCCTCGGGAGCTGTATTTAGTGCTTTGCCGTGAAGCTGTCTTCACCATTGTAGCCTGAAGGCTGTGTTGCTGTTTGTTTCAGCGTGTTTGTCGTAGTTTTTCGACGGCTGTAAACGTGTCTTTGAAATTTTCTTGTGTAATAGTGGCGAATAAATTGTGTTTCGATTCTTCATCAATGTTGTTGCGCACTCCAAATCCACGAACCCGTAGAACGCAACCATATGTATATTTTCATTAAAACGGCTTCATATAACCAAGATTATGCTTATATGGAAACCTATGGAATTTGATTCATTTCGTAAACGGGAACCCTGCAACTTAGTTCAAAATGTACTGAAAAACCAAAAGAAAAACCCTTACCTCCAAACCTAGGTATTCTAAGAGATCTTCCAAAGTCTTCGAAGTATTAGACTTTTGTTCGAAGGCTGAAAGTCGGCGCTGAGTGCCTTTCTTCTCGCCATATTGAATTTCTTCCACATTGATGAATTTAAAATGGCCCACTTGATTCCTCAACCTGCCAACCCAATATCCGGAACTCGATTTTGCGAGAATATCGATGATATCTCCTTTCTGTAAATTGATGAAAGTTCTTTTGTAAAAGTGTTGAATTATAAAATACAGTTTTGTTGGAATAAAGATGACAAATTTAAAGAACAAAATGACATGAAATTCATTTTACTTTTTTTCTTTTATTTAGATTAAGATCATTTCGTAAATTTAGGAAAGAAACCCATTTAAAAAAAGGTAATGAATTTAAAATTAAAATGCTGCTTACATACACTTTTAGGAGTTTGTTTTAGCATTTTTCAGTCGCAGATATTCTTAAAGATTCGGAAACGCAAGTTAAAGGAAGATTAAAATCCTGAAATTAATTATGAAATTATTCATTAATATCTTCCATGTCTTTATCTCAAATGTTATGTACAAGAACAATCGTTTTGAATATCGTACAGGATAACCTATTAAATAGAGATAAAAGGTAGTCCATATATTCTTGATTGAGATAAAAGATAGTCCACATATTTTGATATCTAATCAACGATGATATGTGAATCAAATTACTGAAAATATTTATGCATTTATGAAGTGTCAATGGATCTCCAGCATTTATGAAGTATCAATGGATCTCTAAAGTGTGTATTATTAATAAGTTTTAAACATTAAGTTTTACCAAGAATTAAATGTAAGCTAAACACTGTCCTGCCTTCTCTTGCTTCACGACACATATAATCACTCAAATTAGAAGGGGTTATCAAATTAATTATAAGAAGCATATTGTGCAAATTGAGAACATGCGAGAGAGTTTAAAAGCTAAACAGATTAACTTGTAATAACTTGTGCTTAACGGAGTGAAAGCCGGATGCTGCCTTCGAAACGCTGCGCTAGAAAATCTCAGTTGCATTTGTAGGAGGCAGTATTATTCTCAGTTGGGCCCATCAGCGGCCGAGCGGTAAAGTCGCTGAACACTGGTAGTTCGGTCCGAGGTTCGAATCCCGTGAACGGGCTGGCTGCATGGGTGTTTTCGTGGTTTTCCCCATGTGTAAGGTGTATACGAGCCAGTTTCCCTTAAAAAGTCCTCCCCGAAGGCATCCCTCCCCTTAGGCAGATAGCCCTAGTGTGCTTTGCCATAATTAAAATACACCGTACACACCGTATTCTCAGTTGCTATGCAAAGTTAGTAAGTTATTTTAAGTGCTCAGTTGATAAGGGGGAAAAGCGCAGAGTTTTAAGGACTCTTGTTTTCGTAAATAGCAATCCTTATTGTTGTTAAATTATAGACTCTGCTTCGTATTGTTATTTAATTTAAAACTGCTTATGTTTAAAGTCGGTCAACAGCTTAGGGCGGCGACAACTAGCCAACTGTCTTAGGTATAGCTTTGTGTGAAGTACTGTTCGGTAAACTATCTAAGAACAATTGAACAGCAGAATTTTAAGTATGCTCTTCTTTTTAAGAATATAGGCGAAACTATCTGCTTAAAATGCGCCATTTCTTCAGCAAGTGTTCATCAGGGTGCACTGGATTTCTATAAGGAAATGCATATTTTATAACAATAAATAGACAAGAAATGTACAGACTATCATCCATTTTGTTTTCTTATTTTAATGTAATATTGCTAGAAATTAACGATACTGTACTTAATTGAAGTAATATTATAGCATATATTAATTTACTGCAAACTGGAAAAGTCAGAGTTTCTGCATATACAGATATATGTTTATGTTGAAAGAGCATATCATTAGTCAAAGTTGTAATGTTACAGATTGAACTTCTTTGCGAAGTTGTGAAAAGCCCTGAGGTCCTAATTCCGTCAATTAGTTATGAAATATGAAAATCACGGAACGAAAAAAAATCTGCTCGATTCAAGACAGCTTTTGTTGGCTTCGATTTAGAAAAGTATTATTTCTGATACTTCGAACAGTTTCTGCTCATCGTTTAGATATTTAGAAATCCGACCACTTTCTTGCTAGTAAAGCGGAGTTTCTGATATCCTGGACAAGTGAGATAAACATTCATTTGGATATCCTAAAAATCCTGATAATTAGATCATGGAAGTTAAGAAATTTAATTTTTCTGCTTTGTAATATTTGTTTTAACAAATTTAATCGAATTAAAAATAAAATATTTTCATTCCCGGAAAGAAAATTCAAGCGCACACGTTTTCTGAGCAAATTAAAGGATGAAACTATTTTTAATGTGCCTGAATTTAAAAGCCATTATTCAATAAGAATTAACAAGAGAAGTAAATTTTATCTGATTAAAACTAAGAACATACTTTTCTTTTTTTTTCTGCACTTGTAATACAAAAGCTATTTATCTGCTTAAAAACATATAATTATTCCTAATTAACTAAATTTTATCTAAGAAATATATGCCTATTGATTTAAATTAATAAGATTAAATGAATCTAGGATATCTTATATAATATTAAAACTTTAAACTTACGGCTTGTAATACGATTTAAAAAATTACATATATTCCATTCAAAATTTTCTTCTGACTCACGTATCTAACAGAAAAGTCCTTACATGTCTGAAAGCTACTGGATTTGTTTTTATTTACCAATTGTACAAATTAATAGAATCTTAAGAGTCAGGAGGTCTTTGCTAATTTTATATCCTGGTATGATCGATTAATTTTTTGAAGTAAAAGTTTTCTGGGGAAAAATCCTAATTTAGACTTACTACTAGTATTGAAGAGCCTTTTGACCTTTAAATTTTTTGATAGTTTTCAGATCAACTGGCAGACGCCATGAGATTCTTCGATACTGTAGCTTATTTTATAGTTTGAGGTGCTTCACTTATTTCTCTCAAATGAAAGTTTTCTTGGAAGAGCTATCTAAGTAATAGACTTTCACCAAATATATTTTATAAACATTTTAGGGCGAACTATACATGGTGCACATTCATTTAATTAAAAGCTTTTTAAAAAGATGTAATCTACTGAATTATTTTTTCATATTACTCTTTTAATCAATGAAGAAAGAATAAAATCATACATATAAATAAATCATCAACAAGTTTAATCATATAAGGTTAGAAAGACGAACGATCGAGATGTGGACAGCTGGAATTCAAGGGGCATATTATAATTTATTTGAAACATGAAAACTCAGAAAAATCAAATTTGTGGCAACTGAAGTTAAAATTGATAGCATGCTTAAATAGTCCACATCGCAAATTATATTTCGAATGGAAGCCATTTAATACAGACTTTTATTGTCACGTGTTTGATTCATTGCAATAGTCACTAGAGCAACTGAACCACTAAAAATATCACAAGTAATAATATAAAAATATGTCCTACTTTGAAAGCTAGTCCATCTTTATCGTAAGGACTTGGGGTGCAGTCAACCAGTGCCCTGGCTCTGCTTAGCACTCTGCAAGGGTCAGGGAAATGCTCCTCCTCCCCCGTGTTGCTGAATCCCTGATTGCTGCTCGACATTGCACTCTGGTGATCTGAAACATATTAGAGTCGAGTGATGATGAATGAATACAAGTGTAAAAACAAAGGCACTTTTCGAAATGATTCGAGGTTGCTCCACCCTTTTCTGCCAGCCCCTTAATCTTTCCGTAATGGTTTCACCTTTTCCCCGGAGGTAGCGAAACGTAATGGTAGAAAAAGACCAACTTATTAGACGATGACTGATGCATTTATGAGAATCTTTGTGTGGCAATTTAATTATGGAGGATTTCATTTCAGTTGAATAAAAGTTCCAAATTACTTGTAAAATATCACTACTTGTAAAATAATTGTAATATACTAATTCAAAAGTCAAACAACAAAAATCAGCGTTGCATTTTCAAATTAAAAAAAATATGCTGATTTGAGAATATAACGCTGATTTTTGTCGTTTGACTTTTGAATTAGTATTTGTTCGGCGTGTTATTGTGTCTTAATTACTTGTAAATGTCAACATTCTCGAAAGTCAACATTTCATGATACAATTTTGGTCCAAGAATATTTTCTATTCTTCATGAGTTTAAAATCCATATGACTCGGCTAAACATTTGTCTCGTTTTAATGCAATGGTTCTGTTTTTCTGCCGCTGTGTCGCTGTTACACAAGTTTTGGTCAAATTTTACGAATATTTTAATGATACGCTTAAATGTGCTTCAGTTAGAGTCTGAGAATGAATTTGTGCCTATGCTAGAAATCATTATTGTAAAGAAACACTGTAAAAGAAATTAGGAAAAAGGGAGGGAGAAACCGCAAATTTGCGTTTCTTAAAATACTGCCTCTGCTTTGCAACGATAATTTAAGTTTATGCATTGTGCGTTTGATGACTGCAGTATAAGAAATTTGAGGTATAATAAAGTTTCATTTTACATTTTCACTGTTTTTGTGGTCGCAAAATAAAAACTCTAGGGAGGAAATAGCAGACATTCTGCTAAGATCATTAAAACGAATTCTAATTCATTAGTCTCAATAAATTACAGCGTACATTTATCTCAATAATTTATAAGTGCTGTATCGAAGTTTTACGTTGTTCATGGCGGTAGGTTCAACATTAGTTAATATTTACGGAAAATCAGGAATATAAGAATGTTGAAAAAGCTTTCAACTCAATCAGTAGTATCAGCTCACGTTTTGTGTTTCAGTTAGTAACACTAGGTAAAATTTGTAAAGGTTTTGTGAAGAATTATTTTAATTCCGAATATTTAAGTGTAACAATGCACTTTTTTAATACTCTAGATATTCCTTGTCTGCTGAAATTATGGTACATATAATTGAAAAATGCAGAAGATTCGTTTATGTTGCTAATGCGGTGCTATAAATCCACCCCAATATTGTTCACTTTTATCTTCTTATTTGATTTATATATATTCCTATAAAAATGCATAATGCACATTCTATTAAGCAGAGAGAAATAAACTTGGGAAAAGAGTCAGTTTTTATACAAAGTAATGTGGACATTTTCTGCCGCACTCTCAAAAGGCATGTTTTAACGTGCATTGCTTTTACGTTCTTTCCCTTTCAAAACTAAATTACTGCGTTTTCTTCCTAAAAGGTCGATTTATCACGCTCATTACTTTACTTATCTAAAGAGAAGGGCTTCATTAAATGCTCGAATTACGCAAAGCGGTTTGGCTACTGGCCAAACTGCTTGACCATTTATCACATTTCGTCCAGGAAGTTTCGGTCTGCATGCCTAAAGCCCTCCATTCTGACCGCGTATTTTAAAAATGGCAGACTATTTAGAATTTTAGATTTCTGTAGATTAATTTTCCATTAAGAAAAGTTCTAAAGATTTTAGTGATGGCAAAGAATTTATGGATCTTCATAATGAAAAAAAACTTCAGGTGGAAATTGTAACTAATTTACTGGCCTAAATATTAAATACAAAAGCAAATTAACGCAAAAATCTCATGCAAGTAAAAAATTAATAAAAAAAAAAATAAAGATCTGAAAGCTTTCAGATTTTACATTGCACCCAAAGGGGCGTTTTTTAACGTTTTGTGTGTTACTTTTATTTATTACATATTATGTTCTTTGCACGTAAATTATAAAATTCAGTTCAAGGCAATACTGCAAAATAAATTTAAAATGAACATGTCTTTAGAATTTCCGATATACAGTTTCGCGCGCTAGAGATAAAAAAGTTCTTCTTTCCGCAAAAGTGTACCACTGCTCGCTTTGAAATCATTGAGTTTGTTAATCAAAAATTCGTTAAAGTTTTAAAAAATATGAATTCGATAATAAAACAGATTCCAAATTTGGTCTTCCAGATGCCCATATTCAGTTGGAAACCTACGTTATTAAAAATTTGATGGCTCTAACTACCGTTGTTTAATCACAATGCGAGAAACATTCATACATTTATGCAGATTCTTCATTATTGAATTTCTTTAAATATAATACAGGACTTTAATATTTGGTGGCAACAATTTGAGAGGTGAACCGATATTTATAGTGAATCAGCGCAAAATCCCAAAACGAAATTAATAGTCTTTCTGGGCAAATTGCATCTTTGGACTAATAAAAGCTATATTTTGAAAAAGAAACTACAATAACATATTATTTGAATCATATTCTCTAATAAAACTATGAAGCAAATGCAAATAATAATGAATAGTACCTAGAAAGTACCTAGAAAATATATAGTACCTAGAAAGTACCTAGAAAATATAATGTTCCATCATCATTTTTTATCTTATTTATTATATTAGCGTTATTTTAACCATAATATGTAAGAAGAAATTATAAATTTAATTTATAGTCGCCCCTTAAATCTCCAATTTAATTTGGTTAATTTATTTTGGTTTAGAAATAGCAACATACTTATAACTATAAATTAAATAATATAAATTAAAGCTGCCAATGCATGCCCTTTCCAAAAGTATATTTTTACTTACTACCATTTATCTATTCCATTAAAAGTCGCTGACTGAACTCTACTTCGTAAGTGAAATAAATTAATGCAATATAAATAATCATTTTGCTACAAATATTTTTAAGGGTTAAGGCTGGTACAGATGAAAGTAACTCAGTTGCAGAAGCCACATCAAACTCCTAGGTCATAAAAACGGTAATCCAGGAAAACGGTGATATTATCGTTTATTCTATAAGGTATTTCTCCCGCCTTCTTAGCATGCCTTCGTAGTTAGCGTGCCTTCGTGATCAGCACGCTCGGTGCGTATTCGAGAGGTCCGAGGTTCGAGTTCTGGCGAGGGCATTGCCTAATTTTTATGACTCCTGCTTCAAAAGAGTCCTGATGTCTCTACAATGGCTCTCGAATTAAAAAAATGTGGTGGGTGGATGATGATTCTCCACCATCAGGATTTCGCGACTGGGTCCCCTAATTCCTAGTCGCCCTTTAACACTGAGAGTATATAAGGTATTTATCCCGCCTTCTTAGCATGGTTTCGTGGTGTAATGGTCAGCACGCTCGGCGCGTATTCAAGAGATCTGAGGTTTGAGTCCCGGCGAGGACACTGCACATTTTTCATGACTCCTGCTTAACAAAATCCTAATGTCTCTACAGCTCTCATTATCGCTGGATTCATCATTGGTGCAGAAAATAAATCTGTTTAATGTTGATAATTCGATCCAGGTTCAAAACTCGGGGAACGGCTGACTGAATGGGAGATTTAGTTTTTCTTAAGTATAATATAAATATGAGCCAGTTCCCTTAGGAAATTCTCCATGCAGGCGTCTTTTCCCTTAAGTTGATAGCACTTCTGTGTTTTATTATATTTAATTAAACAAACACTCATACATTTCTTGGCGTACTCACAGAATTTCTGAACGATTTAATGGAAGATTTCTATTGAATTTCTCTTTCATTCGTTTCTTACGTTTTCTACATTTTCCAAATATGTGCTGATATAGTGTCCTTTAAAGTAAGATATCCCTTTAGGAACCAATCAGTAACTTGTAAAATGTCATATCTTGTGAGTAAAGGAATGATTAACAAAAATAATATTTTTCTTTATTATCAAAATTTTAATGATAATTGCAATGGACAAAGATCAATAAAATTTTTTTACCCTATCGAGTTTCTTTAGTTCTAACCTGAAACATCAGTCTATTGCTCCCTTGCAGTATATAACAAAGTCTATTATCTTTCCCTTTTAGCGAAAATTTCTTGCAAATTGTTTTCTGCCAATTTGAAAAAAAATCATTTACATGGTTTTTCATTCGAAACTTCTAAAAAAATATTTATAGGTGGTTACTGGTAATTAACATCAGTTACGTGGCTGCCATTAATTTGTTTAAAAGGTTAAGGATCATTGATGCCTATGTTAATGAAATCTTTATTATTTATTGTTTTTATGTTATTGGATAACATGTAACAGCAGAAATCGATTGTATGAGTTCAAAAAAAATTTTTTTTAAATTCCTTTCAGTATAAAAATGATAATTTAAGATATAAAAGTTGAGACATTTTAGTAACCGTTATAATAAATATTACTCGGCATATTCACTGAGGTTCAACAGATGAATTCAGTCTTAAAACTTTGCAGATGTTATATATGTGCACTTTTGCGATGTCTGTCTAATTGACTTCATTGTGTGATTATAACTAGCACCCAGTGACTATTAACCCTTTCTAGTCAACTTCAGCTTTAATCTAGAACATTTCTATTGCAACTTCCAACACCAGCATTAAGGATGCGTTTGTGTGGCATTTTCTAGATTTATATACTGGTATTCTCCCTCTCCGGGAAGCTCAATTCACAGTTATGTTTGCCCATGCGTATTTCTGTCACCCCATTTATCTCATTTATCCCATAAGGATAACCACGGCTTTCCATAATGGCATTTAAATGTGCTCCATGAACGCTCGTTTACTAAATTCACACTTTTGCAGCTGACAATGTTCGCAGATTTGGTCATTGTCATAGGGGGGGGGCATATTTGAGGTTCAGAATGAAATGTTAAAAGCATACCTTTTGTAAAATTACGCATCAGTTGTGAAATCGCAGCTATACGTACACGAAAATATATAGTTGGG